TACTACTAAAAGCGTTCAGCGAAAACGAAACATGGTTTTGTGATCCATACACGCGTCCCTACAACATGTTCTGAACCGCTTCAAAAAGCGCACATTGCCCTTAAAGACCTCCCCTGTTAGAGATACAGCATAGAAATGAAAAAGGGAATCGGCTGGATAAGAGATGAGAATAAGATAATGAACGAAGATTTCGTGAACGAAATTTTTGCGAACATGACACACAGTGGACTTGGTGTGAAATGGCTTCAAGGTAAGCGCTAGCAAAATTCATATAGTGAAACAATTATAACCCACAATATCCCACCGCGATGGAACAAACAAAAAAGGAAACCTCAGCACTATTTCGGTCGTCTAGCCTCAATCCGTATGTTTGCACTCAATTACATGAATCAATCATAATTACTTGTTGTTAGCCCTCTCCTACTTATGTTGTTGATCTCTCGCCTCGATTCCTGTCATTTGACTTTGCACAGTCAATCCTTCGACCTAAAGCGTTCGTTGTTTCGCATGACGAGGACCATCTACGATTTGGTGCCCTCACGAAGAGGGCCATGAGTCGGCGTGATTTTCTTAGGTACGGTATGAAAGATTAAAGCACGATTTAGAGGTGGCTTCAATGTGATTCGCTCTATCGGCAAGGGGCGTGACGCTGGCCCTTGTGAGCTGAGGATGCATAAAAGGTTCAGCTCCGAACCTTTATCCGTTGAAGGCAACGACCTACTTAGATAACCACACCTTATTTATGTACCAAACACATAAACCATCCAACAAATTTTACCCATACCGGTTTTAACCCACCGTCAGAATTTGGAATAATTCCGCAATCTTTAGCAGTTGCAGAAAATATTGTGAAATTTCCATTTGCTTTCCTTCCAGTTTTGTGCATAGTGTGCTCGCCGGCATAGCCAACCTTCCTCATGCTAACGCCAATTTTCCCGACTAGAATCTCGAATGGGATGGATACCAAGTGAATCCGAATCCCCATGCAATATATTAGGTCGGTCCATAATTTTTGAGAACTTTACATGTATTGTGTAAAAATTTTTTGATAAGTATTGAAGCTTTCCAAGATGTCCTGCAACCTAGCACACAAGCTCGCCTATCCGACAGGCTAGCCACCTCGTTTGCTTGTTACTTTCTTTAGCTAGATTCCAATTTCTTTGAAACCTACTTCTGAGCCTCTTTCTTCATGACTTCAGATTAGAATCTTCCACGAGCAGGGCTATAAGGGCTCCCTCAATCCACGGTGCTCTGGTGGTCAGTTCCACACTTCAACCACCCCGTGACTGACAACCTCGATGCCCAATCGGGCGCCATTGAAAAGGAATCTGAACAAAGTGAGCACTGTTTGTTAGAGCACTTTTACCAACACCAAAGGTTCTCAAAAATTATGGACCAACCTAATACCTCAAATGTGCGTTTCCTGAGGGTGTGATGAGATAGACGGCAATCTCTTGAAGATGTCATCATGTACCCTCATCAACTGATGTGAACTTCTCGAAAAAATTTTGAGCTCTATTACAGTGTCGTCTCGCATAAAATCGCCTCGGTCCTGCATGCTTTTCGTCCCAACGCGAGATGAGCATTTAATTCTTTTGCTGGTCTTTTACTTTGTCGCTTCGAAAGAGCCGAAAGATCTCTACGAAAGATTATTGTTCCATTATCTATTTCACAAACATTGTCAACATACATGGCCAACTGGTAAAGATACATGCTTGTTGTTCTACTTTAGGCTCTTATGCTGCTGCAGAGCTTCAGCAATTGAATGCTGTTATCAATATTCCTTTCCAGCTTGGCTTTTTATAATACTTTTACTTTTACTTTTCTTTCAACTTTTCTTGCTTCTCCCTTTGGTGTTGTGCTTAAAGGAATCTTCCACGGAAAAAGCTCCGCCCTCATTACCACAGAAAACGATACCTTAAAGGAATCTTCCACGGAAAGAGTGATCATTTTGTCTTGTGTGTAGGATTAGTATTATCGAAACTAACGCTTATGTTCCGTTCCTATGCTAGGGCCTGAGGTATCGTTTTTCTGTGGTAATGGAGGCGGAGCTTTTTCCGCGAAGATTCCTTTAACAACAGTGGCACTCAGCTGAATATAAGTATATTAGGTTGTCCCATAATTAGTGAATCACTTTACATTTATTGTTATTAAAAATCCAAGAAAAATGGTGAAGGCGTGAAACATGTTTTGCGAAGTAGCACCCACATTATCCTACCTGAGCAATTACTCAGCCCATTTACATGCTGCCTTCCGTGGCTGATATTTCAATTTTTCTGGAACCTATTTTTGAGCTCCCTTCTTAATCACTTCTGATTAGGATCTTTCAAACGCCCAACAACATAGAGAATCAACCAGCAGATAGGCGAGGGCACGCTCCCTCAATCCACGGTCTGCTTGTAGTTCACTCTATCGAGAGGTTGGCTTTTTAGTTGAAGATGACCCACACTCCAACTACCCCTCAACTGGCAATCTCACTGCTGTACCCAGCGCCACTGAGGGTGGATCTGGACAAAGTCGCCATTTGCTAGAGCATGTCCGACTTGTTAAAATGATGGAATGTAGACATCTACGTAGAGTTGTAAAGATTTTAAAATATTTAGTTTGTATCTTGTATGCTCTGAGCCCGAAACAGCTCCCACACGATCTGACATCATCATGTTCCTTCTGATCTCCCTTAGTTCCTTACAGTGATCATCCAGCATATTCACCAGGGTTCTGGACTGGGTGGAGTGTACTAGCAAATCTCCAAAAGCAGTAGCCTAGCATGAACGATTCGGGAGTTCTGACAGCAAAAGCCGAACCTCCTTTGAGTCCGACATATTGGTGGAGCAGGAGAAGGAATTTGCGCTGGAGAAGCGCCTCGCAGTATTAGTAGGGACACGGACACTGAAGAAGATCAATGCCGACAGCTTAAAGGAATCTTGCGCGGAAAAATCATGATTCTATTTCAGCCATAAATCACTGGCTTGAGACTCATTATCCACGATAATAGTGAAAAGAACTGAAGTATTGCTTTCGTTTTGATTAGAAATTCGAAAACTCGAAAAGGCTGCTACGCGTTCGAATTGCCCACGGACGTCTTTCACGAATGCTGGCGACGGGGATGCTCAAACTTGGTTCTTGGAGTGCATTCACTAGAAGCTCTTTCTGGCCTTCTGCTTCGTTGCATTCACATCTTACTCCATCCTACTCCATCGAT